TCCTTCGTGAGGCGGTGTTCGGGAGCCATGTAGAGATGGTACATGCTGGTATTCTAGAGATATTCCTCCTATGAACTAACGTAGGGTGGCTATAAAAGCAAGGGGGAGGCTCCTTCACAAGGCATTCAATTCCAATACACAAGAAGAGAAGTAGAAGGGCTCCACTCATCTTAGCTTTTAGCTAGAATAATATAGGAAGTGAGAGAGGGAAGAGTTGGAGAAGTGCCAGGGTTGTCGGTAACCTCCCCTAGTGTACTCGCTACACTTAGCAGAATGAGTGCCGGAGCTAGTGACTCCTCCACTTGTACCTCTATGATCATCTTACTACTTGAAGTAAGAAGTTTATGTTCTACTTTGGTACTAATATCTTAAGAAAGTTATCTTTGTTCATTATTTACTTGCGGGTTCGTCGTTCATCCTTGTGGTGAATGCTCTAGTAGAAGGGCCCTAATAAAGATGGATAACCCTTGCTAGCGCGCTAGAGTAGTAGTCAATAGTGTAGACGTGGTGTCTAGGCTAGAGGCAACCTTTGTTTGCCTCGTTCCCCATGATTGAGGGATAGGTGGCAGGTAGTGACAGTGCTATCCGCCCCTACCTTCATTTGCCTCATTTCCCATGGTTGAGGGGTAGGCGGTAGGTGGTGATAGCCCTGTCCGTCCCTTATAATCCCCCACGTTCGGGTGCGACGTAGAGCTACAGTCCAGGCTCACTTGGCAGACCAAGTGCTACCTAGTGCCCGAAGCAAGTCTATAGTGACAAGGTTATCTTCGCTTAAGATATCTATCCTTAGAAAAACCTCACTACCCAAGTTACCCTTCTTCTTGTTTTCATTAGGTGAACTAGCTAGTAGACTTACACATCCATTCCTTTGGGAAAATACAATACCCTAAATACTTCTGGGTAAAGCGCTACAATGGTGTATCCGTGCGCTTGCGGATTCATTCTGCTTACGCTAAGAACCACCAACAAGCAAGCTCCTCCACTATGAGTAGGATGCTCATAGATGAAGAAAAGAGACTTTAGTCAAGTGGTTCTGGTAGCTCAGCTGGTTAGAGCAAAGGACTAAAAATCCTTTTTTGCTTGTTTCAGGGGGAAGAGCAAGGGATATTGCCCTTGAAATCCTTTAGTGGTTCGAATCCACATCTTAGCATTTTTTTTGTATGCCGCTCCGTGAGAAAGGAGTGCCGAGAGGAGAGCGAGAGAATGAAGTGGGCTTTGGTGATGTCAGAATTTGCACCTATTTGTATGTATTTAGTGATCACTCCACTAGTTTCTTTGCTTCCACTCAGTGTTCCTTTTCCATTTGCTTCCAATAGTTCGACCTATCCAGAAAAACTATCGGCCTACAAATGTGGTTTTGATCCCTCTAGTGATGCCAGAAGTCGTTTCGATATACGATTTTATCCAGTTCCTATTTTATTTATTATCCCTGGTTCGGAAGTCACCTTTTCTTTTCCTTGGGCAGTACCTCCTAACAAGATTGGATCTCTCTATGAATGGAAAAGGGGTGCTTCGGATCGGGAGTAACTACTAGTGAAAGGGCTAAGTGGGGAAGGACATAGGAAAGAGGGATGCCTACAAAAAAAATCAATTGATTCATCATGGCAGAGAAGAAAAACGGCGCATGGACCATACTCGAGCTTCGGATCAATGTCCCCAGAAGCAAGGAGTATGCCTGCGTGTTTGGACGATAACACCGAAAAAAACTAATTTAGCTCTACCTAAGATAGCAAAAGTACGGTTGAGCAATCGACATGATATATTTGCTCACATTCCAGGCAAAGGTCATAATTCATAGGAATATTCTATAGTCTTAGTCAAAGGAGGTAGAGTGAAAGGTTCGCCAGGTGTGAAATCCCATCGTATTCGAGGAGTCAAGGATTTGCTGGGAATTTCGGATCGTAGAAAGGGAAGATCTAAATATGGTGCAGAAAGACCAAAATTGAAATGAATGGAAGACGACTCTAATAAAAAATACATAATAGGCAAGGGAGAGTGGCATGCGAAATAGGTATACAAGGAATAGGGGAAAGGTATAAAAAGATGTGTTACATTGATTTAGGTAAAGTGCACAACTAAGCTGGACGGACTCCTTGTGAGACTACTTACTGGATCCTTTTTTATAGAATAGAAAGAGAAGATTGCCTCAACCTTAGCGTATCTCGGCTATATATGTCACAATCGTGTCTAGATTTGAATTCACTTTTACAAGCAACAAGAGTGCAATTGGCAACTGCCTCATATCGTTCATCTAATGATGTGGTATGCAACTAGAAAATCCAATCTTTACATTGATCATATCCATGGCATGGGTCGTATCAGAACGAAGAAGGAAAAGATTCATTAGCAAAAGCACCCGAAGCAGATGGATCAACGTAACCACAATTGACCCTGTTTTCCACCTACTAGCAACACGAGTATTCATTTTGTTCTGGAACACTTCCCAAATCGATATACGAAGAAGGGCAATCTCAGTATTTAAGTAAGAGATTTCTTATATGTATGCTAATCCATGCATCTGGAATGATACTTGCATAGGAAAGAAAGGAGTGTTTTTAGCGAGTAATAGGAGTGTGTATGGCTAGGTAATAGAGAGCAATAAAGGAATCAACACCTGCGTATCATTCCATGGACAAGACTGGTAGTATTGTTTTCTTGACTTAACTCTCCTCGAGTGAAAGGTATTCCCACGCAATCGCTATCGCTGTTCCTATGATGTAGTCAATACGCATTGGAATCATGGTATCCCTTCCACCATAGTAAGAAGTAACGGGTCAACGCCCTGCTTTGATGCCCAGAGGAAGAAAAGCGAAGAAGGAAAGCATGCTCAAAGAAGGAAAGCTCAAGGTCTAGCTGAAATTCCAGAGCCACTGCGAGCACTAAGTACAAAGCAAGACATACATGTCTCATCTGATCCTTATGGGAAAAGTAGCCTGGGGATTGATTAAACACTCGGGAAATATTCGAATAAGTTATTTATTTATGTAGCTTATAATAAGTAATTTCTGTAGATAAGTGATTTATTTTAGAGTAGCAGGAGAAGAAACTAGATAGTAGCTGGAGAAGAAATATATCTCATATCTTCGGCAAACACGATCGCTATGGATAGACATGGATAAACATCTCTAGCGATCTTATAGTACGTAATTCGTCGACTGGATAAGTAAAGGAAAGGTAATTAATTAATCAAACCATTTCCTTTTCATGCCATCCTTTTATTAATTAATCAAACCATTTCCTTTTATTAATTAATCAAACCATTTCCTTTTCATGCCATCCGTTGAATTGAAACTTTATCGTTATCATTGGCTGGAACGAGAATAGTTGCGGGATCCGGATCACCATTTGTTGTATCATAGTTGGAATGGCTAAAATAAGACATTCTTGAAGAGCTATATATTATTTTTGCTGATCAATGATGAGCACAATATCAGGTAACCCTCACATGTATTTTATTCCACCGAGGTATGTTTGGCTATGGTTAAGTCAAGTGCTTGATTAGCAATGTATCCTTCTTTAATTAACTCGAATGGCAACCGACAAATATTGTATGTTTGCAATTATTTTAAATAGAAAAACTTATACTTAGTTCAAGTCGGTAGAAAGTGAATAAAATCATACTTGTTCCGTTGTTATTTGAAGATGTGGATCATTAGGAGGTGTCTTGTGCACCTGGATATATCTAAAGGACAATGTTAGGGCACTCTCTAAATCTAAGCCATTGATCATAGATCAGTTAGTTGGGTTTCTTGTGGTGGAACCTACCTATTCGTGTTCAAGTCCTCGACTTTGGCACGAGTGCACGGCGGATAGATGGCCAGCGGCGCAGCAGCGGTGGTACGGAGAGGGAGGGACGGGCGGTGCCGGCAGAGGGAGGGAAGGAGACCGAGTGGACAGGAGAGGGAGCTAAAACTTAATATAGAAAAATCATATTGGGAGAAAAATTAAATATCATAGTTAAAGAGCATGCTATTAACATGTACTAGAAACCAAGAAACAAAGATACCTTACGTGTATAGAAACCTATTCAAGCCACAAATCACATTTCAAGCCATGAATCTTTTGTTGCAAAAAAAAACATTGTAATTAACCAGATGAAATTTGCAAGATCAAATCTTTTAGTTGAATAGACTGAGCAAATTTATCAACAAGCATAAATAATGCATAATAAGTCAACACATCTGTCAAGTGCACAAAAGCATTCTACCATACAGAGAGCTGAAAGAGCAACAGCTGGTCGTGGCTAAGTGATGAAAAAAACTCTATATAACATGCATGCTAGAATTTGAACAACATGGAGCTGCTGCTCTCTTGCAGAAAAGAACGGATATAATAAGGTGGCAAGATAATATTTGTAAAATTGTTAGATATTTGACAACTAGAAATGCAGCACTAGATGGCCACTATAAGAATAGCTGCTCCACACAATTATTCATGAATATAACCACGTATCAATTTCTATAAGCTAGCATGAACTGAAATACTAGTATAGGGAGGCAGGTTACAGGTAGAAGCGAAATAATGTGCTTTCCAATAATAAATATCAAATCCTCCTTCAATGTAAATGTGTTTTCAATGAAGAATCCAGAAGTACTAACTCTATGTTCTCAATCTACACAAATGTTGACATATTGATGATTAAATAAATTGACTATTTGACAATAGAGATCATACAACAACTTAGAATCAGAGGGAGCAAAGATCAAGGTTCGATATCCAGATCGTTTTTGGCAGCCAAAGGAGAACTTCAAACATATTCACATGGATGCAGATGGCAAAACATTGATCCTTTATACATGTGCATGTGATTATGCAAACAGTTATGTCACTCTCATGGCGCAATTGCGCACAAGCAGACAACTACGACATGACACTCAAGATTGTCTCTGGTGCTTTCCATCGAGCATATGATGAGCAATTTAGTCGAACACATGCACGCACACAAGCGAGATACGACGTAACGGATGAGCAACGGAAGGACAGGCGAAGTTGAGATTTGCTCACCTGGTGCGGATCTCGGCAGGGTCCTGATCTGGGAGGAGCTCCGGCATGCCGTCTAAGGCGCAGTTGGCATCCTCGTCCGTGTACACGATCAGGCGCACTGACCTCAAGCCAAAACAAGAGCACACGCGAATCAGGGCTCCTCCACCTTGGATCTACGAGGAGTGAGATAGAGAGAGAGAGAGAGAGTTTAGGGCGGGAGAGATAGGGCTAGGGCTCACCTGCTCGCGCCGCCCCCAATAGTGCCGGCCGCCTCATTCGCTCGCGCTGCCCCCTCACCTGCTCACGATGCCCCCGATAGGGCCAACAGTAGACCACAGACCACGGAACCCGTGCGCTCGCCTAGGAGTGGCAGGCGCAAGACGGTGAAGCAGCACCGGCGCTACAGCGAGGGCGCGGACAGGCGGCGCGCTGTGTTTGCGGTCTGGATGATGGCACACATCGCTGGGCAGCGGCGCAGCGGGATGCTGGGGCACGCCGACGGCACCCGGCACGGCGGAGCGCCAGGCGATGGCGGTGGTAGGGAGAGGGAACGGACGGGCGGTGCCGACAGAGGGAGGGGAGGAGGTGATCGAGCCAATGGGGTCTGGAACCACAAAGAAATCGTGGGTGGGTGGGTGGGGGAGCTTAGGAGTTGCCGCTCGACCTCTTCGGTGGGTGGGCCGGGCCTGTGAGCCTCAGGCCCGAACGGCGGGGTGGGCCTGTTTGCCTGCCTAAATAGTACGCTGGGTACTGAATAACTATTTGGTACCCATGTACCATATATATATATATATCAAAACTGAACCTTCTAATAAAACACGTAGTTGCCACGTATATATATTGAGCATGTAAAGTGGCAACATTTTAGTATGTTGGGCACGTACGCCAATGTTCTTTAGGCACGTACACGTTTTAGTATGTTTGGCACGTCAGCACATGTTATATACATAAAAAGTAGATAGTTTATATATGCTAACTAAATTATATCTAAAGTTGCAAAAAAAAAAAAGGTTTACCATATATTCGATAGATCTCGTATGTATCCATTAGATTAAAAAAAGATCTTTATATCTAGAACTTTCTTTATTTACTCTATTTTCCTAAAATTAAAAATTAAATAAATATATATTTCACATATTACCTCTTAGTAATAGACTAGGTAGCGTGCTCGTGCGTCGCTACGGGACAGCTAAACTTTTATACTAAAAACACATGGATCGCACAATAAGATAACAATACTATGAAATTAAATATCGACGTTAAAGTGACATTTAATTTAAAAACCAAAGTTCGTGAAATTAACAGTCACGGAGAGCGCGACATCACAAGCACACAAACTCTTCTGTATAGACCTTTTCCATGCTAAGGCTGCAGGATATTTCATAATAATACAAATCAAACAAGCAAAAGGCAATGCATATCTTGGTATTAAAGTATAGAATGAGATATAAGGTTCTTGGAGAGAGAGAGGGGGAGAAAGGGGAGGGAGAGGGAGAGAGATATTATTTTAATTTGTCACTTAGCCATACAACGAAGCCTAAAGCACGAAGCCAAAAATCACACAAACTAAGTGGAGGTGCAAAATCATAACATTTGAGCTTGAGCCTGACCAAAAGCTAACAGCAATAACTTGCAAGATTACTATATTCTCAACGCAATGAGTTCAGCTAGCCATCAATTTAACACTTTCAGAGATGATTTTTTTTTTTTACAAAACTGCATCCCATTCAAAAGAAACGCTATAATTATGGTAACTCAATCTAATATCATAAATGGTGATTCTCCTAAACAACATATAAGCCTTAAAGAGGAGTTATATCAATTAACTCCATCCTTTAAATCTACCAAAATATTTGATAATTCAACAATAAATCATCTTAAGCACCTAACCTTTTTGCACATTCATTCAAACGCCCTTAGATCCACACCATGCCACATGAAAACTTTATCCAATTCACTCTGATTTTCGGCTAAACGTCTAGCATCTTGATTGACAGAGGAACAGCGAACGCACACGACGAGCAAGGTCGAATTGGGAGAGGATGCTGTCAGCAGCCTTGATGGTCATGTCAATGTTCTCGTGCGCCGTCCGGATTGCGTGCATCCTCACCTGCAACCCCACCAAGCAGAGGACATGTCTATTTCAGAAAAGCTTATGAAACAAACAAAATCTAAATCGCTATCCTCCCCTGACCGAATGTCTTCACGATGTGTCGAAGCAGGCTCCCCAATGAACTCCCAGTCTTGTCCAGTGTGAGAAGCAACAGTAGACAACCTACCGTGAGGGCCGGTGTAAGTTATAGTTCGTAATTTGTCGCTAGATAGCTCAAAGATCCGAAATGCAATGGATCACTAAAAAGAAATGATACAACAGTATTGCATGTGAGTTGCAATGTTATCTTGAATCAAGTCAATTTGAATGGATGATTTAGAGATGCGTCACTTCTTAGGAGCAATTTCTTATCATTCATGTCTTAAATCAATTAGACTGCTTGGTTGTAAAGCTTGATATAATTCATGAAAAAGACACTAAACTGGAAGCAGCAGAACAAGGTTGTAAAGAACAGATGCTCCATACCTGTGGGCATAACATGCACTGAAAATTTCTAAGTCTCCACTGCTTGGGATTAACACCTTCCTTTTTCAACTTCTGAATGAGCTGCGGCCCAAGTCTCTCCTCAGAAACATCTGTGTAGTTGTTTGCCGAATGAAATGTAACATGAAAAACACAGCACACCAATTAAAGGGCAGTTCTACATCTAGTTGTTATAAGCAGAATGAAAATAATGAAATTGTAAAAAAAAAGTAGCAGCCTACGTGCTGGAGAGCACTGAAACTGCAGAAAAAGTGATTTTTTTAGGCGTAGTCAGTGCATATCACCAATTAAAAAAAAATCAGAACAGTGTTTTCAGAACTATTTCAAAAAATAATAACCACTAAATGGGACCATGCATTTTATAGAACATTTTGTTCTTCCAGTGATAAGATGAAACATCACAAGGCATATAGAGAAATGGGAAAGTAAAGCAATAACGAAGGAGAGAAGTCATGTAAAAATCGGCGAATAGTATGTGGACTGTGAACTTTTGGCAAGTTCATTAACTGCAATTCTTGTTGGCTCCAGGTAGCCTCCGGAACTGTCTAGATCATAGTTGTGATCATGGAGTTTTTAAAAATTAGCATTAAGTGCCTATAGTAAAATATAAATTAGTACATACATATTCGTTAATACAACAGCCGCATCAAGTGTATGATCTGTAAACCGTGGATTATTTAGAAATGAAGCTAATGAGTCTGGCAAACAATATGAGGCCATGTAGATTATACAGTGAAATAAATAGATCCAGGGTAGCACTGGCATGAGTATAACTGAATACCTTGAAACAACCGAGATGTTGTGGCAACAAAGAGGAAGTTGACAGGATACTTGGTTGCCATATCCATGTACCACCCTATCTGAAAAGGCCTCTGCTTGATCATCCCATAAAGCAACAGCTGCATCTTGTCTGTATTTATAGAAAGGAAATGAATGCATAAGTGTAATAAGCAAGTAAAATGATGGATAACCGGTGTATCGAAACATAGCATATGACATTGCCACATAGTCTCCGTCAATAATAGTGTATATACTCTGAAGTGGTTTTATACACTTTATTCGGCATGCTGACATGAGGCATCTCTTGAGCACTCAATCAGTATCTGGTTAGTGGAATCAGAGGCACAACTCAGGAGCAGCAGATGAAGATACCTAGCAGTTAGCACATTGTCATTCACACACGTATGGTCTTGCTCTTGGAGCAAGACAAATTGAGGTTCAGCTAGCAACTATACGAATAGCAAAATTTCATAGAAGAGCAAGTTACGTGCTATGAGACGACACATGCTCAGTTATTAAGGAATGGCATAATGACTGTGCTATGCAGGCTAGTAATTATGTAAGTGCACAACAACTAAATTTATATAGGATATACCTAGTATGTCATATGACTGGACAGTCACCGGGAAACACCTTTGAGCTGTGCACGAAATTCCCCAGGCCTACACCTTCCTACTATACCCGCAAGGTCAGGCAGCACTGAAGAAATCTGCAACAAAAAAAGGCAAAGCAAAACAATGAGGAAAAATAAAATCGATAAGAAAAGGCGTGGCTGAAACAATCCAAAATAGGACGCAAGCACGTCGCCAGGACATCCGCAGTCACCCAGAAGCGGGCACGCATGGCGGGTTGCCTCGACGATCAACTGTGTGGGCAGACGGTCAGCTGTGTGGGCAGCACCGGCGAGCAGCAACGCGTATGGCCCAGCGACGGGCGGCGCTGTGGCTTGCCCCGGCGTGGTGGCACCACAGTGTTGCTATGCCTTCTCCTCCTGTCGCCGTGTCGTTGCCAGAGGAGTATTGCGGCGCCTTTTTTTGCCTCGAATACGGCGGCGGGGTTCGATTGAGAGGAGGAAGATGGATCAAGGCGGAGTGTGTAGAATATAAAGAACAAAATAAGCGCATATTTGAGATGAGATCGAGATCGAGGAGGAGGGGCCAAGAACCTCGGTGAGGACGGCGGCGAGGTACTGGAGCGCATATTTGAGATGAGATCGAGATCGAGGAGGAAGGGCCAGAACCTCGGTGAGGACGGCGGCGAGGTACTCGACGACGATGGCGAGGTCGACTTGAAGTACATGTTGGTGGCGGCGCTGAGGATGAGGGTGGCAGCGGGCGGTTCAGGCCCAGGCCCGTAACACGACTGGTGTTAGCACCAGATTTATCTCTAAGAAAAATTTTCAAAAATAAGTTTCTCGGATTTTGATTTAAAACAAACTCGAAGTGATAAGTGAATCCTACGTGACTCACTTTTGTGGACTGAAATAAACGCCCAAGTTAAATTATTCAGTGCGTAAAGGTATTTAGAAATGTCTTACAACAATTCTAGCAAATAAATAGTGGATAGTTTGTTCTATGGGATTAAGCGTGAAAAACATTTTTTATAAACAAAAATAAAATATAACTTGTATTTAGAACTTAAATAAAATTTAAAGTGCAAGTTAGTAGTTGAGAATGTAATTTTTGTTTTGGTGAGTAAAGATTGTTCAATAGTATATTTGGGAGCTTCGAAATCGAATCCATAATTCAAACTAGAACGTTTCGTTCAATTGGCAGGGCAATGAACTTATGTTGCAGATGCCATTTTTGGTAGAGTATTTTGGCTAAAATAGCTAAAGGGTGCTTAAGTATCCCGCTACATGTGTTAGTATGTAGTGCAGGCTAATGAGTGAAATATTCGTTGGGCAAAATTAATAATGTTTGGGCATCCCAAAAATTTCGATAAAAGTGGTACTAGCTGTTAGTCTAAAACTAAGCCTTAACTTTGAAATGTTGGTAGACAATGCCATTCTGGCAAATTAATTATAGAAAATCTAGTTAAACACTAGTGTTATATTCTTATTTAGTGGGTTGCACCAAACTAAGTACGTTGTGATGATAAGGTGGTTGGTATGTTTGGAGTTTGTTTTGACCACTAAATAATTACGTTAAAACATCAAGAAAATAAAACGGGTTGGGCCATTAGGCCTTTAGCCACAGTAGCAGAGAACAAGTCAAGCAAGCACGCGCGAGGGCAAGTAGCACAGCGCTGAGCTCGCACTTAAGCCGGTGATCGCTCAACCGATCTCTGCGGCGTCATTACTCCGTATGCACGCTCCATCGCCTCAGCGCCACCGTCATCACAGGCATGCCACGCTCACTAGCCGACGCTGGGCTACTCTCCACCGCACCGAGCTGCAACTACCGCTCGTTTCACCTACCCATGTGTTCACGCTCACGTGGAGGCCGAGCCTCGCGCTGCTTCCCCCGCCCTCTCTTTTTCTGCTGCCGAGGAGGTGCCCCAGCTCTAGTCCGCCCATCGCCTGGCCCCCTCACGAGCACGCTCGAGCGCCCTACAGCTTCCACAACGCTGCCCTCCCTAGCGCAACGCCTTGGCGAGCAACCAGTTCGCGAGCAGTCGCCGTCGCTATTTCCGCTCCTCACGGCCACCTCGCGCCGAGCCAGCACCTCCACCAGCTCCGCCGTTTCCGCCTCGCCTCGTTCCTCCTCGCACCCCGTGGCCCCTTCCGCTGCCCCGCAGCGCCTACCATGGCCGCTTCCACCGCCACCACCGCACGCGCGAGTGCGCCATGCCCGCCCGGTGCCAAGGAGCCGCCCTACCAGCGCCGCCCTTCCACGCTCCTTTTCCGGCTCCGCTGCGCCCCACAGCGCCGCAACCGCCATTGCCGCCGCCAGCGCACGCAGCCTGGCCGCCTTGGCCATCGTTAGTTCCTGGCCGCCACTGCCCGGCCACGCACTCCTCCCCGCGTACATGCACCGCCGTTGCGCAGCCACCCACGTCCGGTTGCGCCATGCCGCCGCCCACCTGGCTGGCGCCGCCGTAGCCGGCGTGCCCGCCACCACGGCTCGCGCGGGAAGGCTGTCGGGGGCCGGCTCGAGTCTTGCCATGGCTAGCCCGTGGTCGCGCGGGTCCCCGTGCCCCTCACCGGTGGGTTTCCGCCGCCGCCGTGCCTTCCTCGGCCGGGATTGATCGCCGACCGATGCTCCTCTGCGCCGTGCTATGCTTTTGGGAGGGAGTAAAGGTGAGAAAGGTGAATAAAAACTAATACATGGTTCTAGGTGTAAAATACGTGACTCATATGAACAGTAGCATACCAAATAGATAGAAGTATGGGGGCATTTTTGCATAACCGCCAGGCCGGTTTGGGCAGGCCACGCGTGGGCCGGCTTGCTGGGCCGCTCGTGCCCGCGCGCTGGGCCGGCCTGTGGTCGCCCCGCCCCGCCTAGGCTGCCTTGCCACTGGACCAGGCCGAGCTGGGCCAAGTCGGGCCATATTTGGCCCACAAGCTCCGTTTCTTTTTATTGAAATTTAATCTTTTCTATTAAATCAGCTGAAACTTGTAAAATTCATAATAAATCAAATAAAAATCATAAAATGACAAATCCAATTTTGTTGAACTCTACACAGATTGTACTACATTGTGAACACATAAAATCATATGCCTTAATGCAAAATAATTATCTTAAAAATTACTCTAGGGTTTGTTGTAATTAATTAAAATAGTTCTTATGCTCCAAATGCTATGAAATTTTTACAGTAGCATAACTTTGCTTTGTTTGTACTCTAGTAAAAATTTTATGTTCATTAGGTACTGGATGACTAGAGTATTAATTTAGCTTGTGAATACTAGTTTAATGCTTGAAATAAAATTAAAAGAAAATAGAAATATAAAATGTATGTCCTTAGAATATTATTACTATAATAGTACTTTAGGACACTTGTTAACATCTTGGAATTGTATAACTAAAAACACTTGTTGGGGAATGGCACCTTTCTCGACGATATTGATACATAGATTAGTACGTTAGTCATTAGAGTTAGCTTGTTAGTTCGTAGTATGAACTCTATTTTGAGAGTTGTTGTTGCCTTGTTAATTATCTGTTGCATCATTTTGCATCAATGCATATCATATAGGTACGATGATGGATCAACGGATCAATTGAAGGATGATTGGAAATCTGAAGATGGTGTAATGGTATTCTCTCTAGGAGATGATGCAATGGGCTTTCTATTCAGTTGATGGTGGACGATATGAAGATGCAGATACTAACTTTTTAGTATATATCTTATCCAGGTAAGCTCCGGTACATAACCTCTACTTTTCTATACTTTAAATTATATTTGTGCATTAAGTTTTAAGGAGTTAAATGAAACCCACTTGCATATATATATCTTTATCCTATGAGTCTTACTAGTATGACAGGATCGTATAGATTGCTATGCTACAGGACTCCGATAGAAGTCGAGTGATTGCCTGTCACTCGCGAGAGATAGGAAATATATTACTGTACTATTATCACTTGGAATATATATAAAATGGTGGAAAGGAAAATAAAGACCGAGCAAGAATATGGTTTGGATATTGGTGGGTGTAAGAGGTTGTGTCCTACAGCCAATGGGGCATAGCTTGGTTACACTATTTTCCCTGTCTATATCGATTAAGGACCGGCCGATGTATTGGACTCTAGACAAGTCACAGACTTATTATCCCGAGCATATACTTAGGTATGGGCATAGGGAAAACTTGTTACTCTCTTGTCATGGGTTCCGACTCTTTCCGAACCGACTGTCAGGGTGTTTTTTGGGTGGAGGCCCTTGCACCGCACTGAGTCCAGGACTTAGGGGCAGGGGCTTGGAATCCTAGTTTGGACGGGGACCTGGACCCCGTGACAGGAGGGTAGTGGGTTGGTCCTGCTTGTGCCTGGGGTACAAGCAGGGTGTATGTTTCGGGGTACCCAGCTGGGCTCATTGATTCGCGGATCGCCGCCGTGTCGATACGACTTATCTAAACTCTAGCATCGTAGTAAGAACTAGAAGATGAAAGATGGTAAAAAAAATTTGATTGCTTACCACCTGCTTGAAAGTAGCACAGGTGCTTACATAGAATGGTTGGTTAATGAACTAA